AAAAAAAAAAAAAAAAAAAAAAAAAAAAAAAAAAAGCTGCTCACCTGAAAAATTGCTACTATTTCTGTATGTATAGGCCTGGTGAAGCTTTAAAAAAGCCCGGAACAGCCAGAGATAAGCACCTTGCTTGCAATCCACAGAGAAGCTCATTCCAAAGGGCAAATTTATTTGAATATCGAGAGCCCGTACCTCCTCCTCGACCCAAGCCACGCAGACACAGCAGTCTGGTAAGGGCTGGGCCACCCTAGGGAGAGACCTAGAGAGGCCCCCGTAAAATTCGTACGTGTGAGCTGCTGGTACCATTTTGAAAATGGGACAACTGTGATCCGCTCACCTATTAAAATATTCCCTACCAGACGCTAAAAACGTTTAAAAATGCAACTGGCTTTTTAAAATTTGTAAGCACGATGCTCAATGGTCGATTTCACTTGTTTCCCTGAAACTGAAAGCTATGCGAAGGTACCTGTGAGACGGCTCCCGTGCTGCCAATATCGACGGGAACTGGGTCTCCAGGGCCAGCGACCGCCTTTCTACACACCGAGCAAACCAGCGCCCTGGGAAAGCGTATTCTGCATGAAGGATAACATCGTAACTAAACATCGTATTTTAATATTATTTCTAAAAAATCCGGAGAAATCTGAGACTCAGACCCCGTTCCCGCCGGACTGAGAAGGCTCACGGCTGTCCTGGAGAAGAGAAGCATGGGGAGGAGGGTTTACAATGGCATCTTCCTTCCCCGTATTCGTTACGTTTGCACTGTTTGCTCCCAAAAGCATCTCGATCGCACGCCAAACACGGCACAAGATGTTACATTTGTTACACGGTGCTTCTTCTCCAGGCTCTACCCGGTGGCTTACCAAGGAGCACGGGGGAAGCAAGGCGCGGAGATCGGTGGCGCTGGCAAGGTTATAGTAAATTTTTAGTAGAGGGGGGACACGGCACCAGGGCTTCGGGCTGCCAGACCCAGCTTCCTCTGGTAAAACTGACTGCACTCAATTAACCAGATTTAGACAACTGGGAAGCTAGTACTTTTTAAAGTTACAGCTTCAGGAATTTGTATATTAACTGATTTTTTTTTTTTTTAAACAAAATGTTTGCTTTTACTATTACGTTTTCCTTCTGCTCTCTTTGACAGCTCTACAAGAAGAAAGAATAACAACTGTTTAGGGGATGACTGCAATATATGGAACAAACAACCTTAAAAAACATATTCTTGCCCTCCCATTTTAATCCTTTTACAGCATTCATTACAAAATTGTATTAAAAATGTATATAATTTAAAGTTGTCTCTGCTGCCTATTGAAATGCATCTGTTACATTTTGGTGACTATAATGTTCTACCTTTTCTGGGAAACTTGTAAAAGAATCAAGACTGTTTAAAAAAAAAGTCAAAAATTCAAATTTAATCTTGTTCTACCTACACAGTTAGAGAACTTGTAGGGA